TTTTTTTTTTTTTTTTTTTTTGTTGTTGTAACGCGTGAATTTTAATGGATTCTCTAGAATGGAATAAGACTTCTTCTTCCTTCTCCTCGAGGAGAATCGAGATCTTGGTTGCTCTTAGAATTCTTTTTCTCTCTCTTTCTTTCGTTCTACGATCTATGATTATAGAAAGTAGTCCGTATCAAGCGTTTTTACCATTAACAGACGATTTGTATTCATACCCGCGCGATACTTTTCTCTATCCAATAGAAATTAAGGCAACGATACAAGTATCTATTAATATATAGAGCGTAGAGGAGAGAGGGGTAGCAAGAATTCATCGTACATAACGAGACTTCCTGTTCGATGTAACAGTTCGTGACAGATCACGAGCAGATCTGGCGAGTATATTAGAACCGAGTTACCTTGGAATACGCGGAATTTTTGTCTATAAAAGTTTTATTTTATTTTATTTTTTTTTTCTTTTTTATTTTCGCGAACAACTCTCGATATATCCGTTTGAATAAATTTACCGACGTTATTTTTTTTTCAATGTATATATATATATATGTATATATGAGAGAGAAAAATATTTTCGTGACTCACGACTCGTTCTCCAACGGATTAATGTAAAACAGAAACCGAGAGATCTACGCGTAATTAGCAAACCGGTCACTTCCTTCGCGTGAGATCGTAGGAATGGATGAAAGCGTGATACAATTCGCAACATCGTTTTCCCATTTTATCCTAATTTAATTCTCTCGAAATATCCACTCGTCTCACTTCCATTCTTATTTTCCATCTTACCGATCACCTTTGATATTAAGACGCGAGAATAATAAAAAAAAATAAAAGAAAAAGAAAAATCATCGTCTTATTACCGCGTATAAATCGCGTTTAACGAGTAGAAAGTATTCAATCATATCGTACGTATTTCAATCATTGTATGTGCGCCTCAATACACGAGAAAAAAGCAATAGAAAATTAACTCGCGGGTAATTTCCTAAGGTTGGAGAACCACGGAGTTTTTTTTAAATTAAACGCGTCGCAGTGATCACAGTTTCGACTGTGCGCATCGTTCAACCGACCGATGGAAAGTGAAACGATAACTAACACTCGCGCATGCGCACACACAGAGTACGAACCATTAGTCCGTAGATCCTCGTGCGTAGGTTGAAAATGGGAGCGATGCTGCAGCTGGAAGCCATAGGCCGGAAGCCACGGATTCGGTCCGTTCACCAGATCCATATCCAACGCGTCGAACGTGGTCGATGGCTCCTCCTCGTCGTCCTCTGCCTCGACGTCGAGCTTCGGCGACGACGCGAGCGTCGCCCCCGTTGAAGAAACGGTGGTCGTCATCGTGCTGATCGCTTCCTTCGTGCTCATCTCCAACCGGTGGAGACGTGTCCAACTGCGTTTGGTGACCGCCAGTCATTAACCGCTTCGCCGAGCTGTGAATCTTCCTCCCGCGTTTCCACGCCGACCCTCATGCTCTGCCCTCCAACCCTTCCGGTTAACGAGCCTCCGTTCTCTGCAAATGGGCAAAAGTACGGTGAGAATCGAAAGAACGCGTGTTATATATTTCGTATTTAACTCATTTCGTATTCGAGAGAATAAGAAAGAAAAATTAGAATATCCGGGGAAGTTCGCGAGAGATTTAACGGGGAGGATGGATGACGAAGTTAATTCTAACGAAACGAATGTTACGAATTTTCGTGGATAGAATCGAAACGAAAGACTTTGTCGGTGGTTTATGAACCGTGGCGCATTCACGGAACTTTGAATGGCTGTTTCGAATTCTAAGCGGCGATTCAGCCGTTGGTGATATTATAGAAAATGAACAGCGCGCTTTATAGGTGAAATTTAATGCCCGTTAGAGGAATCGTTAGACAGGAGTAAGTATAGTAGCTACGTGGCGCGTATAATTTCGGTGACGCAATTTTCTGCTTTGCAGTAAATAACGAAACGATGCGGAATTATTTATTCTCGTTATCGTGGTTAATAGGCCAATCGTTCCAAAGAAACAGGAGGATATAAATGACCGTTATTTGAGAAATATAGATATAAAGATACATAAAGATAACATTAGTGGTCTATGTTCCACTTTTGAATCCCGTTCGCACAAGATGTGGCAAATATAGAAAACGCATATTTAGGTTAAAAGAAAAAGAGGAAATGGTGCCATTTTTATTCTCTTTCAAAAATAAAACGCAAAAAATAAAAAACACCTGTTTTGCCTAGCATCGTTTCATAAAATTAACGTTCCAACAAACTACACTTCATAACAAACTACACTTAAGTTGCAATCCCGTGTTGTTGATAATCGATTTTCAATACGATCGAATCCACGAGAATTGCCTTCAAATACCGACCATGAAACAATTTATTCTCAACGTCTCACGCCCATTGAATTCGAGATTCCACGAGGCGTTTTAATTCAAAGAAAAAAAAAAAGCAAAAAAAAAACGTTACTCGCGCGAAGAAAACGCGTGGGTGTAACGATTACCCCCTCTCCAATGCATGTATACCGGTATACGTATACATACAAAACGCACCGTACGATGGAATCCGTTGTCTGTTCGTATCTATACGATGTTGGACGAAAAGAAACGACGGTGGGTTTACCTTGTTGCGCGCAACGAAACGTTAAAATATTGCCGCGAGCCGCGGATTTAAACGACGCGGCAGGAATCTCTACGCGCAGCAAAAGTTACGCATGCGTAATTGGATAAGGATCGAGTAAGGTTGTCGCCCCTCGCGGCGATCCTTCGAGGCTCCTATCTCTCTTCCTGAAGCCAACCGTCCACCGAAAGCTGCAGCAAATTTTATTGCGCTCGTATTTGCTCGACGGACTGAAAAACGGTACGTGTGTTCGTAATTTCGTGACGACCCCGAAACAGAGAGAGAGTAAGAGCGAGAGCGAGAGAAAGAGAGAGAGAAGGGAAGAGAAGAGAAATGCAGTTCGCAAAGAAATCGAAATATCACCGTGTATGTTTACCACTAAGTTTTATTATCCCGATCCACGGCTGGAATAATTGACCATGCTTGTAATTCCATTCGCATTTTTTGAAATAAAGGTCGGAAATATATGTGAAATCAGGTTGAAATCAGGAAAAAATTTAAAATTAAAAAATGTAGACATAAAGGTTAATGAATAGAAAAGAAGATAGATTTCTATCATTTCTATCGTTCTAATACATACGCCACAAGCCAAGATTACGGAAGAGCGCGAAACTTCAAACGGCACTCGATCTAGAATACTGACGAGATGATACCCGATACAAACCACGGGATAGAAGAATGTTTTCTAAATTGATGCTCTTCCTGCGTCATTCAACTTATATAATATCATTCGTGGCCTCTCGATCATATGATTAGTTGTTCTAATTCAACGCAGATCACAATTCTTTGCAAACAAGTGTTCCTTGTAGATATTTCTTCATTGAATTTGTCGCAATCAGCTGATGAATGTTTATATAGAAGGTAAAATTAAATGCGCGTGACTGAATGATTATTGAATTGTTCAATTGAACAAAAATTATTAGATTTGAAAGAAGAACATAAAAGATTTTTTAGATTTAAGATTAAGATTTTAAGATGGATAGAATAGAGAAAGAATGAAAGATAATGTAGATTTCAGTATATATCTACTATATAATTCAACATTTTTAAATAAAAATAAATTTTAAATAGTTTCAATTTGAAATAACAATTTTAAATTATTTCTATAATATATATTAATGTTCCATATTGAAATTTATTTTTAAAACAAAAAAAAAGAAAACAATATGATTATATGATAAGATTAAAATAATTATTTTATAGTTGTTTCAAATTTTTCTTTCAAGCTATTGTAAATATTAATAATAAATGGATTATTACATTTAACTTAAGATAATATTTATCTTAATGATTTTTATAATACTGTATGATATCAATAATTCATGATATAAAAATTTTTATATTTCTTTTTACAAAATTATTCAATATAAATAAAAAATATCGACTTATCTCTAAAGCAAACAATTTTTATACAAGAATATATATTTTATTAGAATATATAATTTATCAAGAATATATATATATTTTATTTCCAACAAAGATAAGACGGAAACGATTAATATGCATTTGACACAGATATGATATATATTCAAAATAGTACCAACTACATAGTATGTTTTCGAATTGTCGAATCGAACTGTCTCAGGTTGCAACGTTCTCGTGTCATTTGTTAGTTGTCCTTGGCGGACAACTTCAAAGAAAAAGAGATACAAACTGTTTCATTCCGCTTGCCACGTCAAGCATATAGGTCTTTTTCATAATTCCGACTAACTTATATACTAAATATGTACTCATTACCACAATGTATAGAAATAAAAACATTAAAAACTATTACTAAAGATGAAAAAACAGAAGATCACTATACATTTGATAAAATTCTATGAATAGATTCTCTGATTTTTTATAATTTTTATAAATTTTTTTCATAAATTTAAATATAAATTATTTGTTTTCTTGATAAAACAACAGAGAAAGAAAATCAAATATTCATTAACCTGAATTTATAATACATGATTTTGCACCAAGTATCGCAACCTTTAACATGATTCTGTAGTCACTTTCACTTTACATAACGTACTTTAGCTGCAGATGTGTTTAGTAATCCGGCAACTCTCGCATGATTAACTTTTATTAAGAAAAAAATTGATCCTTACATTCATTGTGGTAATAATAAAGATATCCGATTTACGTCATAAATAAATTAAGATAATTACGAGATCCATTTAAGACTAGTAATAACTCTGTCTGTACTATGTAATGCTTTAAATTTGAATATAATTATTTATTGAAATGTACGTATATCATATTTTTAAACTGATTATTTGAAACTCATTTATGTTATAATTATGTTATAAGTATAAATCTAAAAATATTTTACAGAATATAACAAATTACCACAATTATGTTACAAAACATTGATACTTCGAGAAAAAAGAATAATGCACGATAACGTATAGTTTTCTCCTTCTTATCGACATTCAACAAAATGAAACGAGTCGCCTAAGTACACACTTCAATCGTGACAGCTGTCAAAAGTAGCGAAGCGTCCACGATGCAATGTAGACGCGAGTATAATCATTAGAAAGAGAAAGAAAGAAAGATAAAAGAAAAGAAGAAAGAAAGAAAAGTGCAAAGAGAGGTGGATGATCGCGTAAACACGCAAGTTCTACGTTGTTACGAGTGAGAAGGAAGTGACGCATTAAGGATAAAGAAAGAAAGAAAGGTTAGAACCGCACAGTGAATTCCGAGTGCGACGGCGCGGTGGTGGATACCTGTCAGCGCGCATTCCACGATCCCACAGCGTGCTCTCGCCTCGTCGTTTACTACCACTAGACTTTTGCCTTCCTAACGGCAAGAATACGTAGTCATACACACCGCCAGTAAAATCCAGAGTGGGATTTAAACGCACACACAACTTGTTTACGAAAAAAACGTATCACTTGCTACGGTAACCGGTGAATCGCGTGTTGTTCGCGGCGCGAACATGGCGCACAATTCGTATGGCGTTCAACCACTAAAAAGCACAAGCCCAGGAACAATGGGGATTCTCCACGGTGTGAGAGAAACTTGAAGAAGCGACGCGAACAATGGAACGTGACTTAAGGACACCGGAGAGCGCGAGAGCCAACTTTACACCGCGGGGTAAATACTAGAACAAAACTCGCTGCTTTCGCCCGCGGAGCGCGGCCGTGCTGGCCAATCCCCACCCGCGCAACGTCGCCACGTGGTACACAGCTTAACCAATCACAAACTGGTTACGCGGGGCCCCCCGGACGTGTTCGTAAAGCCGGCTTGCTACCGATCAGTTTCTTCTCTTCTTCTCTTGTACCGATTTAACATTTAGACGACATAAAGGAACACGAAAGGCCGCCGTCCTTTTGTTGATATATGTACTTGAATCGATTCTTTTTCCTTTTTTTACGCGACAATGTTTCACCGCTTCACGAGCCAGAAAATCGGTACGTGTGATTCGGAAGAAGAGATTGCAACATGATCAAATGAAAGATGGACTAAAATATCTCTGCCTTGTTGAGAGATAACACACTAAAGAAACTGGTATTGCTTGCAATATATACTACAGATAACTTACCGGTTTCTATTCCCACAATAATGGTTCGTAACATTAGATCTTCTAAATAAAATAATATATAGGACCACATGCATTTATAACATTCTTTAGTGATAGGTCAATTTGCCAACGCAAATTGTCCCCTCTCGTATATATTCGTTTATCTTAAATTGGTACAAAGAGACGCGTAAAAACATTACACTTCCGTTGACGAGTCTTATTGCTTTGCTATGAAAAAGTGCCGCCTACTTGTCAAAACGTCTCGTTATTATCGCAAAACAGTCTTTTGTAGACACTTGCATTTATATGTAACTATGTATACGCGAGTAGCATGCGTTACATAGATTTGCATACACAACTCAATGGACCTGCGAGCGACTGAATAGATAACTACGAACATTGCCTTGAATCGTGATCAATAAAATCAACTTAAGCGATATGTCTTGTCGTTTGTTCCATAAGAACAATCAGATATCCAAATAGAAAGATTAGTCATATCTGCTATTCAATTACATTTTCTATCAAAATAAAATAATCAAAGTGCATAAATCAAATTTGATAGAATAAAATTATTATATACTTCGTTATAATATACACGTGTTATGAATATGTAATCCAAAAAAAAATTTTTTTAATAATATAAAACTTGAAAATATTCGAATATAATCGAATTGATATAGTAAAGAATTAAATTAATTCAAATTATCAGTTATTAAAAAATACATACTCTCATAAAAAATTAAAACAGTAAATATTGTATTATTTACTTTCTCAAATAAATATTGTGACCAAATATAACTGCACAATACCCATCAACAAACGATCCATCACGTTTTACGCAAGAGATATAGAATGACTAATGACGCAATGCTTCGTTCCACCGAATTTCTAACGGGTAACCTCTTTCGAAAGCATAGTTTGTTCGGTAGGTACATCGATCCAGTCACCAAAACGAACGACAGGCGGCTCTGAATTCGACTCGAGAGATCGCAGAATCCATCTCATAGCCATATGTGCGATGAGAGAAGTATGTAACGGGCAACTGGCCGATGGAATTAGTTTCTTTTTTTGAGGCAGGTCACTGACACCAAACGGCGATGGATTGACGCGGCGGGGTCAAGTTCTACGTGCGTTGTCGACAGTACTTCGCGTTTAAAGGTATCGCCGAGCATTCCTTGCGGGATATCACGTTACTTACGGAACCATGATCAATCGTTCGAACTCAGTCTATGACTATAGAACGAAAGTTGCAAGTCGTAAATCGTTGCGAAAGTTGCGAACGGTGTTGCTCGTGATAGCAATTCGGCTATGATATATGTTTATGTGAAAAAAGGGAAAAGTGTTTCAGCATTATTTTAGTTTAATTAATGCCAAAATACATGGTTTATATTCAATTATATTCGAATAATAGATAGCAATTGGCAACCAGTAATTTTTGTGTATAATATTACCTATTTAAGAAATATATAGGAAACTCTAAAATTAACTTTTCTAATTGACTTCAATTTCCCAACGTATTAAATTAAACTATATTCACAAAGTAGTATTGTTAAAATTTTAAATTAGTTCTTATATTTTCTTAAGTCAGACAGAAAATGTTCAAATGAATTCCTAGCATGAGAATGCAAATAACGGTGCTCACCATCAAGATAGAGGTTAGTAATTAATTATCGAAATGCCTTGGGGAACGCCTAGTTCATTTTTTGTTTCTTTTTCACGATAATTTCCATATTATTACACATTTCCATATTATTATTAATTTCAATATACGTAGTAAATATTTTTTCATCATAAAGAATACTGACAATCTCATATATTTTAATTCTATTATTTAATTTCATATTAAAATATAAAGATTTTATTATGACAAAATATTGTCAATTAATTTTTAAAATAGAATCCTTTTACTTTGAAACATTTTGTACATGAATGTCTTCAAAGAAACATGATTATACTTATTAATTAAGTATGTGAGTATAATATTTTTAAATAGTGATCATCGATTTTCAATGTGTTCAAAGGTACTCTCGTTTTTACATATCCAAAATTAAATTTATTTTTTTAATATTCTCTTCGAATATTAATTTATTCAATTGGTATATTCCGACGTACTGACAAACACTTGACGACCGCATGAATTTAATTAAGTTGATCAGATCCAATTAAAGACCCTTTATGTTCCTTTTTATTGTTCCCTTTTTTGATTGAGAGATAAATCGTCTATAGTGCTAAAAATAAAATCAACATATTTAAATATTAATAAAAAAAAATTAGAATCATTAATTTTCCATATTAATTAAATTAAATATTATATCTAGAGAATTGAATTCATTGTCTATATTTTAAAAAAAAAGAGAAATCGTATGATCGTATTTATGAATATAATCAAACATTGAATCTCGTAATATCGTTGAAAAAATATGATTTACATTACAATTTTAGTTTTATAATAACTATGACTTCATAATTTATCTCTTGGTATTAAAGATTTAGTGTGACGTATCTTATTTCATTGTATTAGTTATCTTCTCAATTATGAATGGCTTTTTGATAATAAAATCTCATACAGATACGCTATTGTTGATTTCCTTCTTATCACGATGATTGTTTTATCAGAAAATTTTTCATTGAATTATCAATCAAATAACAATTGACGAAATAACGTTATGTAAAAATTTATTTGTAAATTGATGAATTCTTTCGTATATAAATATAGATATCAAGGAGACAATAAACTTTTTATGTATGTTCATGAGAAGAACACATCATATTTCGTTTATCGCTTTCTCAAATCTCATTTCAATTTTATCACCTGTTCTAGATTTTTGTTTCGATATTTAAGCAAATTTCACGATATAGACAAATATTTTAAGATAACATATTCAATCAAATATTTTTCGACAAATCTAAAAACTGATTACTTAAAAATTAAATTAATCAAATTTTACAAAAATTTTAATATCAGTATATATAATTAACATTTACTTTTTTTTAGAAAATGATTCCATGTACTTGGAAGCTTGGACCAGCTTGGCTTCTGCATAATTTTGTTATTAAATATAATAAAGTTATCAAAAATGTTGTAAATATAAAAATGATGTGAAATGATATGAAAATTTAGAGATAAAAATTGAAAAGAAACCGATTTTAAAATTAAAGATTTTAAAAGTTAAAAGAAATACTTTCTCTAATTTAAATTACTAGTGAAAGTGATTATAAACAGTTTTTTAAATAACTGTAGGATTTAGTAACAAATAAATATTATAATTAACTGATTCATACTTGAAAAAATGCTATGCAAGAAAATTAAATTAAACTATAGATTTACATATTACATTTATACTGTTCAAAAGAGTTAAAGAATCTAATAAATATATTTAATTTAATAAATTTCTCCTATCTTAATATCATCATATATTTTGATTTTAATTCATTCTCTATGATTCTATTGCTACACCCAACATTCATTCAACGTTATTATCTTTTAAATATAAATTTATTAGAGTAAAATAAAATTAATTATACATTAATTCCAAAATTTCTTTATTTTTATATTTGATTAAGTAAGAAATATCATCACACACATCTCAATTATGCAGATTCAATCTATCTTCAATCCTACTTGTCCATTTAAATTTCAAGGAACAGATAGAATAAGATACTCAATGCAACAAGTTCCAAGGCGAGCCCAATTTGTATAGTTCCGCCGGTAGATTCTGGAAAAAGAATATAACGTGACAATATTAAATTTATATTAAACAAAATATAATTAAATCTCTAGGGATTTCTTTAATTAATTCCCTTCTCCAAACGTTACATCATATAACTTAATAATTAAAAAATTGGTAAAATTATAAGATGCACATATATGTGTATATATATATATATATATATAGCGACGAAGGTAAGAATTTCTCAAGGTTATTCTTCTCCTGCTGACATTTTCTCACCATAATCGTAATATTGCAGTATTTCCGTGGCTTCATCCTCACACTCCTCATCATCAGCGGCGGCTCTGATCTGCACATGCCCATTCCTCTGGAGTTCGTCGACCTCTGGCTTACCCTCGAACGCAATCGCCGCGTAATCGGACCTTGCCTCCTCAATCCGGCGACCCTTC